GAAAAGTGCCTTTATCACTTCATTTTGCTTCTGTGAACAAAACATGACGACTAGCCCTAGGATCATGTACTTCTAAACTCAAGCTTCCTGTAAACTGCCTAGGCTTCCTCTTGACATAGAAGAATCCAGTCCCAGCAGCCGAGACAAGCCGAACAAACGTTTGAGCCTTTTTTCTTATCACCCATTCCTTATTGGCTTATCCTGTCAAAAAAAACAAAATCAAACGATCCCTTGTTCAGATCCTCCAAGGTTTCATAATTTTGGGGTTTAAATTAACTCCTCAGTCCATAAACTTTCACTCAATTTTTCAATGTGATCCTTATCCATTAAAAGTTAGCGACTTGAATTTTTTGTTGTGGATTCAAAATTTTTTTAATTAAATCTTGTTATAGGGCCATTAAATTTTGTGGATGTAACCAACCCTATACCATCTTTGACTGTATCCAGAGATTAAAGTAATTTAACGACATGACTGGGACATGTATTCTTCCCAACTATAATTCAAGCACAACTGACACTTGTATACTTGAGTTGGACCCTTGACTTAATATAATGCCTAACAATTTTGATTCTTGAGACTCTGAATATGGATGATTCATGTCAACCATAAGGGTAAAGGTAAATCAAGTGAAATCTACTCATGTGAATGAGGGATTTGGATTTAATAACTATACTTAGTATAGGCACTGAATGCCTGAAGCATTTAATCGTTGAAATTCAAATCAACCGTTCAGATAAAATCACTTATTTATTAATCTTAACTGGGGTATGAATTCAAAATCATTGATTTAAAAATTTAATGTCCATATTAAGTATAATCACCAAATCTATATCCGTGAATGGGAGTGACTTGGCAATAGCATGAATCACGCATGTTTAGAATGTCAAGATAGTCACACGAAGTGTGGCTCAAACGGTAAGCAAGCTTGAGCTCAATAGTTTTGAGGCCTTTACAATGTTAAGAGTTAGATCCCACACATGAAAAACCAATTACAAGGTGGATCTCCTCAATATCCTAAGCAAGATTAGTCTAACACCCAAAATATTTGTGCTGATGGGCTCGCACACAGTGCTTATAACTGAAGAAATGACATTTATGGCTGAGCAGCCTCTTGATTGCAGGAGTCTCTTGAATCAGGATTTGTTTAATGGTCATATGGAGCAGGCTAGCTGGATATTTGTATTTTATTAAGGCTTTCAGCTTGTTTAGATTGACATTATAATCGATTTTGGGGTCCAAATAATTGATTTTTGAAAAGATTACCCAAACAGCAAAAAAAGTTGATAACTGATTATTGAGCCAGAATCACATTTTGAAATAAACTCTAGAAGGTTGCTTATAAATTCGATTTTACTGTTAAATAATATATTTACTTCTTAAATAAAGTTTAACAAATTTAATAATATTAAATACAACTTAATCAATAATTTAATTTTGAAAATTAATGTTCTTTATGATAATTTGGACAGCTAAAATCAATTTTAGTATACAAACAAATTACGTTATAACATACTTTCTCCGTTAAAAAATATAAGGTATTTTTTAAGGAATTGGATATTAAAAAATGTAAGGCATTTTTAGTCTTTCAAGGTGTAATCATTGTATTGTTTTCAAAAGTGTCCCTATTAATAAATGACTTTATATTTATTGTAAGATGTTTAATAAGAATAATATAAAAAGATAAGGTTAGTTAGAAAGTAAGTAACTATTTTATTAAGGGGTGAGATTCGGTTAAAAATACTTTACATTTTTTAACGGAAGGAGTAATCAATTATAATTAAAATCAATCATATTAATCAATTATTTTTATAATCAATTAAACCCAATTGAAATTCAAACAGGCCATTTGCTTTTTTTTTTTTTTTTTTAAAAAAAAAAGTAATGGAGATGCTTGTGGGAAAGTGAAAAAGAATGCGGATAGCAAATTGTTGGCCACATCATTAGAATTTTAATGGCATGCAAATGAATGTGAATGGCTAGGATCTAATCAAAATTAGAAGTTTTCTTTTTTATTATTATCATTATAAGGGCACAATTACAGACATTTAACTCTAGAGGCCAGACCTAAAAATTGAATGAATTTATGGGAACCTACAAAACAAAGGACTCAATTACATGGTGCATCACAAAACTACTTCAGACTAAAGTGTAATCCACATAAAAAAAAAGCCATTACATATCATCTGAAGATCTTCAAAGAGAAAACCCTAATTTCATACGAGGCCAACATAAATTTTTTGATGCACAAGATATATATCAGGAAATGAAATTGGTCATCTCTAAAAATAATGACGGTTATCATTTAAAAAAAAAAAAAGTAATTCTAGGACGTGCTGACCACAAATAAGCACTGTAAAGTTTAAGGTTATGCAGTTGGCTTTGTAAACTTTAAAAAATAAATACATAAATAAATTCAAACTGTGAACACCATGGATGACAACAGCAAGAATTTTGTATTTCCAAAGGGAGTGAAGCTTCATATGGTAAATTTTGATGCACAATAACAATCACATGCAATAATAATCAATCTGTAAAAGCAAAATGTAAGAAATTTCATTAATTTGAATTTGAATTATCAATATATCATAAATATATTCACATTCAAAAAGTGGCATGCCTGAGTCCTGAGATAAATCAACTTGTAAGAGCTAGCCATGCCATGGGTTCGAACAAAGTAATGACTGCAACAACTCATCCAAAAACTACAAGGTATTTCCCTTTGAATGAAGAATGAAGTTGACAATAACATACCACATAAAAGAAAAGCCATTACATAACAGGTCATATCTCAAGAATTCCCAGGCACCCCACATTTGTTGTAGTTCAAGCCAAAGACAGAAAGATAACTGAAATTTCAGAAAATGATGATGGCCATGTATCAGCAAGCAAAATGGGAGCCCACCGAATATCAAAAGTGGAATTGAGTAAGAAATAAATCAATCATCAAATTGGGAAGACAAAAGTCCAACCTGGCTCATGTGGAAAGGGCAAGTGATCACCGCTAAGACAACAGTTCACCTTACCATTATCCATATGTTTTGAAATTGTGAGCTACGTTATGTGCTCAACTTCGCAAGGGCAACACTGCTCTTTAGCAAATTGTGCGTATTAAGCATTCAAAATCCTACAGCAATGGTTTCCACAAAAATTTTTGAAATAAACACACACAGAGAAAAAAGCAGTAGTCTTCAATAATGGCTTATACCAAAAGTTGAAGTACAAAGACCATGGCATGATAGATTGCAAGCAAACACAGACTATAGTATCAGCATATTAAGGCAAGTTGCCATTGCCAATTGATCTCATAAAGAAGCTATAAGAGGACATCTAACCTAAACTCAGAAAGTCATGTTCCACAAACACAATATTTTGTTATAATTGGGCATTCTATAGCCATCACGGCTATACCTCAAGTTTATCCCAGCAAGGCAGTTAGCCTTTCATTTCCTTTATAAACAAATAAAAAAGTATCCAATTCAAAGAAAATTAGAGCCAAAACAGAATTTCAAAATGCATCAGCTTTGCTCTCCGACCATGTTACCAAATCAGAACGTTCAGCATTTTGGCTTTCAAAAATTAGAGACGATCCGAAAGCCAACCAAAGAAAGAAACCAAACCCAAAAAGGAAAAATGAAACCAACCTGTGCTGATGAGACTGCTCTGTGTTGACGGTTGAAGCGATCATCGCCGAAGGGGAGATGGAGCACTGGCAACTGGCAAGGAGTTAAAACGCCAAGAGGCAACAAAGCTACAAAACTGTGCATTTTAATTAATTTGCCAATTCTTTTTTTTTTATATTGATTGATTTGCCAATTCTACCCCTCCAAGTTTATTAGGAATTGTTATTATTTTTTTAAATATTTTTTATATTAAAACTATACAGTTTGTTAATTGTATATTAAGAATGGAATTTGATTTATATTAAAATTTAGTTAAGCATCTAGTTTATTTTTTAGTAGTAATAACAAAATTAATTTATCTTTATAGCTATTAATATGCTTTGTTTTTATTTAATAGAGCTGATATATGAAAATATCAAAATTTCTCGAAAGTTAAACTTGGTACTTTTTATTACCATATTAATTAAATAAGCATGATTACATTTTATAAGAAAAATATAATTTTTTATCCCTCAATTTCTTTCCGGTAATTGATTTAATCATTATAAATTGGATTCAGACATCCAACAATTTCATATGCAAATTAATTTTATAGGATTGACATATTCTTTGTACTTTCCTTATAATGGGTTTTATTAGTACCGTTTTCCGGTGCGTTTTAAGCAGTTCCTCGTACTCCTAAACTCCTCGTCGCACACTGCCCTAATCGTCCGTCAATAGTTCCCTGCCTCGGCAAGACGGCCTGAACATTGTAGCATTCTGGTGTAAGCTTCAGCATTTCCAATTCGATTATTAGTATTTCATTTGTTTTCGCTGTTATTAAGTTTTGTCGTCTATTTGTCCGAGATGTTTGGAGTTTCAAGTTTTTTCCTTTCGATTTATTTCTTCAATTTGTCGGGAAACAAGCACAATTTGACTGATAAAGGTAGTGTTCGTTTTTCTTTTCTTTCCTTATTTGGGTAATATAAAGAGCTGAGCAATTGTGTTGGGAATGGCGAGCACTGTGGATGCTTCGGGGAATCCGGTCCCAACATCGGCTGTGTTGATGGCGGCATCAAAGCACATAGGGGTAAAATGTCACTCCGAGAATTTGGATTTCCTGAGATGCAAGAAGAATGATCCAAACCCTGAGAAGTGTCTCGATAAAGGACGGGAAGTTACCCGCTGTGTCCTTCACCTGTGAGTGGCTTCTCTCTCTCTCTCTCTCTCTCTCTCTCTCTCTCTCTCTCTCGTTTGAACTATATTATCTTTATGGGTTTTCCGGAACCCATTGTTATGTTTGGTGTATGAGAGCATGTTCGGGAAAAGTTGAAGTGGAATTGTTGGTATCTTCTTTTTCTTAATGAAACTAAAAATTGCTTACTTCGAAAGAGGTTGAAATGGAGATTTTATTTTGGTTAAATTAAATAAGTTAGAACTGGTTAGACTGGCAACAAGAACATTTTGATATTTGGAAGCAGAGGAATAATAACATAAAAGTGAGAAATAGACAGTAAATCTTGAAATCATATTTGCTTTATTCTGTATTTATATTGCTCATTCAATTTCACTTTGGGCTGTAGGAATCAAACTGTGATATTTGATAAGATCATCTTTATTTACCTGCATTGTTTAGTTAGAGTCTGCTAAACTTCTGTTTCACTATAGTTTCAGTAGGGATAGTTTATTGCATTTGACTCATATACTGCTTACAACCTAATCTGCTATGTTATTGCCCTTGCAATTTTGTATACATGTCTTAAATCTTCGCCATCACCATGTGTATGTCATGTTATTCTCCAAAGCATGGTTTTTGATGTTGAAGTGCCTATATGCGTTATACAATTGCTGTGGGTTCGTCTTCTTCCTGTTATCTGTGGTGTTTCTTTTCATTATCTTTCATTCCCTACCAAGCCAGGTCTGACTAATGACCTATCTTACAAAGGTTAAAATTTGACAGGCTTCAGATTTTATTGGAGAATTAAATATAATTTAGCACCTGGATTTAATTATTTCAGTGTGATAGCTGAATCTCGTAACTGATGCTTTGATCACCATAGTCATGCCAAATTTTCCATTTCAAGCAACATTTGAATAAATGAATAGTTTTATAAGAATTCATTATGATGCCAGTTTAGGACATTTGAAATTTAGTTTTAGATTTGACGTGTTGGGAGTAGTGAATTTTATCAAAGGCATCTGATGCAGATTCATTCTGCTTAATTAAGTTTGGCTTGTAATTCTAGCTGGCGCTATGAGCTGCTTCAAAGGGCTGCATGGTGCATTCCTATATTTAAATGTTTCGGTGCAATTTTTTCCCCTTATTTTAAAGATCCATAGCTGCGTGGCAGAGATAACGGATAAATAATGATTTGAAATCTAGGATGAAAAAGTATATTTGATACTTGAACTTTTCTAACAGAGGAATAAATGGGCCTCTAAATATCGAGGGAATAATAGGTGGAAGACAAATGCTTGCCTTTCTTCTCGTTGTTTTGAAATGTATCTTCTTTACATTTGTTTAAAAAACTTTGTGAAGATTAACATGTAGCTTAGTGCAGAGAACTGACTGTGTACTCCACTGTATACTTTTCCTCCTACCAAGCCATGTGAAAGTGTGTCAAATGCTCTTTTCTCTCATTTCTTCACCATTCATATATGTGTGTATGGAATGGGGCTACTTTAGTTGCAATCAGGAAACAATTGTGATCAATGGTAATCATGTAAGGTAGAAAAAACTTAATTCCTTAAGATCTCAAGTTTGAACTGGGGGAAAAAAATCATATTATGAAAGCTATCCCAATTTAGGTCCTAACAATGCTCAAATCTTAAATAGTCGGTAGTACTGGATATAAAATGATTAAAAAAAAGAAAAGAAGGAAAGCAACTGTGATTGTTTGCATTTGCAGATGGAATTGTTTTTTTCATTTGGAATTTTTTTTGTGGTTGTTTGCATATCTAATACAAGTCTTTTTTGGCTCATTCCCTTGCCTGGTTCTAGTGATTACTTTCATGCTTTTCCTGGTAGTTTAGATTCTGCTCTCCTTGGTAGGGGAGTTAAACTTGTATGCCCCCTTTTCTCACACGCCCAACAAAGAGGAAAAAGAAAAAGAGACACATTAGGGTTCATCATTTCTTAATGTTCTTGAAACTGGTCACTCAGCGGATTTGTATATGAGTTGATTCAAGGTTTATTGATCTACCTGTAATCAAACTTTAGTTGAATCCATCACGATTAAATTAATATATTTTAATTCTTTGTTGGGGGGAAAAATGTTTCACCAATTATTGGCTAGTTTTTAATAGTTCTTGATTAGTTTTTATTTCTTGTTGATCAGTTTTATCAGTTCTTGGACCAGATCAGATTTGATTGGCCAATTCACCTGTCAAATCAGCTAGTTTGTTCTGCTTTCCACAAACATTGCTTGAAATTGCTGTTGTATTGATTGACTTCTATTCCACTGATACAAATAATCAAGATTTTCACAATATATATTATTTTCCTCCTTTTATTGTTATTATCATGCATTGGAAGTTAATAGAAACCTTAATGGGAATTTTCAGTGGAGTTGAATCCTTGGTCATTGAGTTAAGTTAAAAGGACACATTTGTGGTTCGAAATCACCCCAGGCTCATTCTCTGTTACAAATTACAAATGTTTTCTAAAAATCTTCATATGTGTATGTAGAGTGAGAAATATAGAGTTTTAGGCTTAAATTTCTAACTGGTCATGGTTCTGTGTTGATGCCTCAGGCTCAAGGATCTACATAAGAAGTGCACAAAGGAGATGGATGAATATGTGAGATGCATGTACTACTACACAAATGAATTTGAAATGTGTCGCAAAGAGCAGGAAGCATTTGTGAAAGCATGTCCTTTGGAATGACATCATGTAATTTCCCTTTGTTCACATTAATAATAAGTTTAAATAACACAGGCGACTTGCACTGAGTCAATTCTCCATTTCTTAAAATACTCAGATGACCAAGTTTGTGTTACAATTTTTTTAATGTCTATGTTATGTTGGTCATTTAAATTTTTCATGAGAAATGCTTCCAAACAGAAGAATTGGTGGTTACTTTTGATGTTAGGTCTTGCTTGTAATGTAATAATCAATTTGGTATATGCAAAAGCTTCAGTGGGAGGTTGAGAGTTCACCAAAAGAGATTTTTTTTTTTAAGAAAAAAAAAAACTCAATGTGAATCTGTTCTAAATCAATCTGAATATTCATATCTAATATAAACTTTATAGAATGTTGTACTACAAAAAAATTTAGAAGATGCGTTTTACTATAAGTCATATGGATAAGGCAGTTTAATTTATTTAAATTTCATGCATCGTATATACTTACATTTTGGTTTCATGATTCATTGGATTAGGCGAATATGATTAAGAATATTAAATTTTAAAGAATTATTTTTTAAAACAAACTGTTCATATAGAGAATTTGGATTTGGATTTTGATATCTAATAGTATTTTGCTCCCTTTCTTTTTTATTATAAGAGAAATTTATCATATACATTTTTTATATTTTATAAGTAAAATTATAAAACTGGAGATATATTTACACATTTTATTTTTCAAATTTTTTTACATAAAATTAAAGTTTATTTTCATGAGATAAATTTGGTTTAATTATTATACGAATAATTTAATCTATTTTTTAATTTTAGATATAATTAATATGGTTAATTAATTTTTTTAAACTTTGTGACTTGTTGAGTTGATTTTTTTCTTACATTTAAACACGAATAGAATTATATCTGTTAACAATAAAAAAAAAATCCAATGGTAGTGAAGGGCTAAAGGTCCCAAGAGGGGAAGAAAAAATAAACAATGAAAATTCTGAACAACTAAAACTTTATTTATCAGGGCCTTCACTGCGCTAGATATTTATTCATGCTAAATAAGTAAGCTTTGCTAGCATCAATTATTGGTTTCAAATTAGAGAGGTCCAGATATTTAGGTATATGAAAAAGTGTTTATGAGAGTATTCATCTACAGTTAAGAGAACAGTGTCTATATATTTTTTTAAAAAAATAATTCTTGTAAACTAAATTCTAATGTGGGTTGTTTCCAAAAAAAAAAACTCATGTGGGACCCATAAAAAAAAGTATGGGAACCATATTAAAAAATATTTGTAAATATCAAATTCATAATAAAAAAATAATATGAGGCATAATACTTTTAGTAAATGTAGGAGCTCTACTTATTATTTGTTGCTTGTATTTTGTGTATGGATAAGATAATTAATCATATTATAAAATATAAATTTAAATAATAAATCATAAAATAAAATATCTTATTGCAATGAAATAAAAAACTTAATTCATATAAATTATAAAAAATTATGTGTATTTGATGGATAATTTTTATTATTTCAAATCTTAACTCACATGAAATAACAAATTATATAAAAAAAATAATTTTTATTTTTATTTTTAAAATATACATGATAGTAAATCATAAAATAAAAAAAAATTATATGGGATAAATATTAGCTTATTTTCTAAAACAAATTGTACACCGAGAGATTATGTACCACTTATAGTAAAAATGATAGGTAAAAGATCTATCATGAGTAGATTGTATTTTTTATATGTATTAATAATATCATAATAATTTTTTAATTTTATTTTTAATAATATCATAATTAACATGTATAGTCAAAACTTTAATATGATTTTTATTGTAGAATAAATTATTATTTAAATTTTAATTTATGTAAATCAACAAAATATGTTACTTTGAGTACACAAAAATAAATTATTTTTATTTTTAGCTTTTAAATTGTCACCCTCCATCTATAGTTGAATAAATAGTAAAATAAATTTTTATTTAAATTTAAATCTATATAAAGTAACATATCACAAGTACACAAAAAAAATTATTTTAAAATTTTCTTTTTTTTTATTTATGCTTACCTTTCAAATGATATAAGATCCTTACAAATATTCAAAAAATATCTCAAATAAATTTTCACAATATTTAAAAAAAATAAAAAAAATATTTTCGTGGATCGGAACAGGTTAAAATCTAGTTTTCATGTAAAGAATCACATTTTGTTTGAAACAATATGATTCTTGCTCAACAGAATTGCTAAACAAATCATGGCTGATCATGTCAAATGTGAATTGTCTTCTTTTTTCCCCCTTTGGGCTAGGCATCATCTTTTATTTTTTTTTAATCTTAAAAAAACACGTCTAGAATAAATGCATTCAAAATTCAAGTGAAAAGGAAAGGTCATGATATGGAATTACTGCAAATGATTTTCGCACTCACTGATAAAATTTACTTCAGTTTTTTTTTGGCCCAAAAAAAATAGTTCAATTAATGAAAAATTGATCATAACATATAAGATTGTGAATTTAAACTCCACTGTTGATATAAGAATTTTATTGATAGATGATATATAAGTATTATTATAGCCATTCATTGAGCTCAGAGGCATGTCTTGCTTTGATGATTTTCTTGAACTCAACTCATCTAAATTTTTTTATCATAAAAAATTGTTTTGTTATCCAAAAAAAAAAAACCACGCACATGATGGCCATGAAAAAGAATCATTTCTTCATGTGGCGTGGTCCAAGATGGTCATACATTGTTTAGGGAAAAAGGGAAGTGACTTGCGTTAAGAAATGGCATGATTAACCCGACTTGATATGAAATAGAATTTGAAAAACAATAAATAGGAAACATCAAACAAATTAAATATGGTTTAAAATAAGGGTAAATGAGTAAACCTTTAAATTATAGGTTTAAAAGCGTTTAAAACCCTAAACTTATTTTTTGTATAATATTTTTCTTAACAAAAACTGTGCAATTTGACTCCTTACTTCTGTCATTAACAAAAGTTAATTTTGATAAATAATTGATAAAAAATGACAAAAAAGAAGAGATCATCAAACACAAAAAAATCCAAAAATTACAGTAAATAACTCAAAAATTACGTACAATGATCAAAAAATGATAAAAAATAATCAAGAAAATTACTTGATCATTTTTTGTGAGTTTTGATATGAATTTCTATAATTTTATATGTCAACTAACACTCAAAGTTACATTTTTGTTAATATTAGGGATTATATTATATTATTTTTAAAAGTTAAAAGAGAATATTGCATAAAAGATGACTTAAAAGTCTTATAAGCTTTTACATCTAATTCTGGAGCTAATTTTTTCATTCACCATCAAACTAATAGATCATATTTAAATTATTAAAAGTAATAAATCCCCATATATATATATATATATATATAATTGCCAAAAGATCATAAGAGCCTGACTGCAATAACAAATTGAGCAGATATGATACAATATAATAATTATATGTTATGTATAGTATAGAATGTACAGCCTCATTAGAGAAAAATAGACTTTCAATTTAAGATAATAATTTGTTCACTTAACTTGTTAATTGATTTTCATTAAGAGCCAGCTTAGATTAATTTAAAAGAGCATGACCTTCATCCATAAGTAAAAACCAAAGGGCAAAAGAAAGTGTGGTTGTTTTTAGTCCCCATTTTTGATGAGAAAGAGTGTTTGTTGCGGCAAATGGAAACCTCACATGCTTCTACTTCAAGCCATCATTCACAATATTTATTGGGCCCTAGTGGGTAATAAAACCCATTATGTATTTTCTTTTTTCTTTTTTTGACCAACAACCACCCATTAATTAAGAAGCACTTTTTTGTATTTGCATTCAATAATGGCAAGTTGGAATGCTCCAAGAAAAAGAAGATTTACCTTAGGAATCTACAAAATTAAATATTTAGGTTAAAGAAAAGTTAAGGTTTTGTGAAATTATTGTTGAAAAAATTTTCAACAACATGAAATCTAAATTATTAATAAACTTTGATCAACTACCAGTCAACATTAGATGAACATTGCCGGCAATAGTGCCTATAACTTCTCATAGCCGAAGGTAGTCAAAGGATGGTTGGAGGCAATTGATGGCTGGCTTGAAACAACAATCAAGAGACCATGAGTTGAACTATGAGGACAATGTGGATGACCTTGATAGTTAAAATTCTCATAAAATTTTTGGTTCAAATCATAAAATCATAAATTATATAATATAAAAAATGTCTCTAGTAAAAAAAATATAATTTAAAAATATTAACACATATAATATAAATCAAACCATTATCTAAAGTCCATATCAAACAATTTTTTAAAGTTTAGATACATAAAACATTGTCCAATATTAAACAATCAAATCATTCTCTAAAGTTTAATTCTAGGAAAAAATAAGACAATAAGAACTAAATATTTATAGCAAGATAAAAAATATCAAACAATAAACGAGTTGGCATGTTTAGGCTCTTAGCCCATTAGGTCTTATCCTGATAAGCTTTAATTATGTGAATAGCACAAATCTTATAAAACAAGTCTTAATTATATAGGATGTTATAGAAGTGAAATGTTGGAAGCATGGCTTGCTATATCAAAGGGAAAAGGGGTATTGTTGAAGGCACTGACAAAGGCGATTTTGACTCACCAATACCTTGTTTCAAGTTTTCCAAGAAGGTTTGCAATGAGTTCAATGCTTTGTGATTATGGTATGTGAAACTATGGATGGGAAAGGGATCCACTGGGATTTATTGACATTAGGCAAGAAGGAAGGGGGTTTGAATTGTTGTATTCTTTCAAATGCCTTGAACCAACTGTGAAATGTTAGTTTTGAAATTAAAGATGCTAATGGATAGTTACTTCTTGAAATTCTGTTGTAAACAAGTGTTATGGATGGTGCAAGCAACATGTTGGAGTAATGGAGGACAATTGAACAAGGAAATGAAATAGTAAGGGTAAGTGATGACTCGATTGTTAATGGATGGTGGGAACCTCCTATGAAATGAGTTGCGAAAGTTAATTGTAATATTTCATTTGATCCTAAGATAAAATATAATAATATCATACAATTCATATAAAAGATTCTTACTTAATGGACTAAAACTTCTCGTTGTTTCATTTGACCCTGAAAAGGGAGTGACGGATATAGAACTCAAAAGGAGTTATTCTATTTGCTAAAAATGAGAGAAGGTGTCGGTTGGCTTTGTTTTTATGTCAGAAGAATTGGCTACTAAAAAAAACCATTTATTAGATATAAGGAGATGAAACTA